CTGTGGCAAAGGCTATCTAACATCACATGCTACAGAGGAATCTGCTGTGAAAGGAAGAGTCGAATGGTGCGGCCAACTTCATTATTGCCTTATATTAAGAAATTGCCACAGCTGGCCCGCCCTGTGGTGACCAGCGCCTGACCAGTCAGCAGCGATGGGCACTGGGGGACCCTCCGCCAGCAGAGCGATTGCCTTGGCTGAAGACTCAGACGATCATTTGCATGTTTTAGCAATAAAGTATTTTAAAGTTAAGATATATACATTGTTTTTAGACATAATTCTATTGCACACTTAATAGACTATTAGGCTGGGCACAGTGGCTCAGGCCTGTAGTCCCAGCTACTCAGGAGGCTGAGGCAGCAGGATCGCTTGAGCCCAGGAGTTTGAGGTTGCTGTGAGCCACGATGACACCAGTGCACTCTAGCCCAGGCAACAGAGCGAGACTCTGTCTCAAAAAAAATAGACTATAGTATAATGTAAACAACTTAATTTGCATTGAGAAATCAAAAAATTTGTTTGACTCCCATTATTGCAATGTTTGCTTTATTGCTGTGGTCTGGAACTGAACCTGCGATGTCTCCGAGGTGTGCCTGTAATGCCAGTACTAAGGTGGACCCTTTATGGGGTGGTCACCAATGTCCAAGACCTGTTAGGTATTACCCCGTTTGATCCTTAGAGCAACACTACGACGTCCTGACCCTTTTGTTTCCATCTTACAAATAAGCAACCTGAGATGTGCAGGGCCAATCTGCTTCTCTCGAGGCCTCCGAAGTAGTCAGCTCAGGCTGACACACAAAAAACAGACGGAGGGCCTTGAACAATAGTAATTTACTTCTCACAGTTACGGAGGCTGGAAGTGGTGGTGAGGGTGCCGGCATCGCAGGGTCCTGGTGAGGGCGCTCTTGCTGACGTGCAGACGGCAGCTTCTCCTTGCTGTGCCCTCAGTCAGATCACTCTCTCTCTCTTCTTGTAAGGCCACAGGCCTATAACATTAGCACCCACCCCATGACTGCATTTAGCAGTAATTACCTCTTACAAGGCCCCGTCTCCAGTTGTGCTGGGAGGTAGGGCCCCAACATATGAACTTGGAGCTGGGGGACACAATTCGGTCATAGCAGCCTCTTAGCTGGAGAGAGGCAGGGCTGGGATTAGAATCCAGGAGGTCAGACCTTCAACTCCCCACCCCACCAGGACTCCCACTAACGAGCCACCCTCACTCTCTGGGCTGTGATTTTTCTTTCTCTTTCTCCTCTGCCTTGGTTGTCTTAAGCCCAAGAGAATCAAACAGCTTTTCATTAGAACAGGTGAAAATATCGCACTTGACAATTCAACTCGGATCAGCACAGGCTTGGGAGCACAAATCATTCATTCTTTGAGGCAAAATTGTCATGAAAACTAATCAGTGCAGAGCCTTAGCCTGTGCCAGTTACACAGCATGTCAGCAAAAAGGAACAATGATAAGGTGTGCAGTCAGGGTTTCCAAGGCTACAATAATTCACGCTCCACGTAATGAGATGAAACGCTGACAGATAATTCATATAAAGTGGTGGTGTCCTTTTGAACCTGACAGATAACTCCACATGGTGTGCTCTCACAGCAAGTGAGAGAAGCAGGCAAAGAGAAGCCCAGGCGGGAGGTGTACAGCAGGGAGGGGGGGCTGCAGCGGGCTCAGCAGGGAAGGGGCAGGCCCCATCATAGTGGCTGTGGGAGAGGGGACAAGTGTGGGCCACTAAGCCAGACAGCCTGGCTTCTAACCCCATGTCCTCCACTTACTAGTGGCATGACTCAGTTGCCCCATCTGTAAAATGGGACCAATACTTTTAAGATAACAGCACAAAATTAATGAGGCTGCATCAAAGAAGTTCAAAGACACATTATCAAGTATCCAGTAAATGTCAGAGGTAATTTCCTGATAAGAACTGAAAATATCAGTTCAGCAGGATGGTCTTGAGTCTGAATCGAGAGTCACTGGCTCAGGCCAGGTAATGAGCTGCCTGGGCCCTGCTTTCTGTCGCTGAGACATGGGCAGAGTTGACATGAAGACTCCTAGACAAGGATATAATGTGCGGGTAGCAGGTACCAACCATGGGGCTAGAACAGACTCTACCTGTATTCTTGTGGAAACAGCTCTGAATTTCTCCCTGGAGATCCCCTTCCCCCACTCTAGTCATGGGACACGGGGCAACCTCCTGCCCCTCCTCCACTACGCAGGGATGGGGACGTGTCCCAAGCTGGGTCACTGCCCGTGACCTTCAGCCTCTGGGGCCTGGTCAGCTGGTAGGAAACACTGGACTTACCAGTGTCAATGAGAGTCATGGCTCTGAAAATAAAGCTGATATGGGGAAAGGAGGGGAGACAGAGAGAGACCAAAGTCAGCCATAACTGACTTTTTAGTTATAAAAGCCAAGAAATTCCCTTTTGTGCTTAAGCAAATTTGTTTCTCTTCCCTATAACTAAGTAAATCCTGACCCATACAGTATAAACAGTGCTCAGTACTGACCAACGGAATGATGACCTTTCTCTTTTAACCTGTAGCTTGAAGGATCATTATTTATATCTGCTATCTATCTATTAATATCTCTATCCATCTATAATCCATCATGTATATCAAATCCATCATTTGTCTATCATCTATGTATCTATCATCTACTCAGCTTATCATTCATCTATTATAATACGAATACATACATATATAACCTCTTAAAGTGAACAAAATTTTATTTACAGAAAATATACTTTCATATATTTTCTTTTCACTTGATTCTTGAAACAGTCACAAATATGGCATTATTATGTCCATTAACAAGTGAGAAATTGAGGCTTAAAGAGTTTGGGAAGTGACTCCAAAATCCAGCAATAGGTTCATCCATTTTGTTTATGAAGGAAATACAATGCCAATAGAAGCCAACACTTGCAGAGAATTTTCTTATTTATAACACTTTCATGTAACCAACAGGTATTTGTCATTAATCTGTTGGTATCTTAGAGAACATGAACAGAGCATCAAAAAGTGCCCAACAAGTGGGTGCTCCAACATAGTCTTTCTCCTTTAACATACAAACTCAGTTGTGCCCCTGATCCTGCTCATCCTCTCTAAGGAGACTCTTCTGAAAATGTTTAGGCTCAGAGATATTCATCTAAGTAGTATTTACATTGGCAAAATAATTAGAAACAGCCCTAAGTAACCTATAAGACAGGATAAGGGCTTAATGGCTTATGTACTTTTCGAAAGTGGACTATTATGTAGCCATTAAAATCGACAGACAAAGAGTTTGCAATAATGAGGAGACAGTGCTCCTACCACACTGTTAATTTGAAAAAGCAGAAGACAAAATCACTGTGCATGGTTTTTATACCAATGACATACACAGTCATATGTCATTGATACAAAAAATACAAGAAAAGGATTATGAGAACCCAAATGTAATCTGGACATGATTAGATTCTGGATATTTGCTGCTTTCTTATGTATCTTATTTTCTGTGTTTTCCAATGAACATGTGTTGCTTTTCTGATTAGAAATACACTTTTTAAAAATTGCCTTGCATAGCAATCTAAACACAAAGGGGTGCATTTCTTCCAAACAATTGAAGTGTTTAGCTGTGCAGTCCCCAACTCCTGGGCTGCAGAACAGCACTGGCCCACAGCCTGTTGGGACCAGGCCGCACAGGAGGTGAGCAGGGCAAGCGAGTGAAGCTTCGTCTGTGTTTACAGCCACTCTCCGCCGCTCCCCAGCCCCCCGGCCCCCACATCCGTGGAACAATTGTCTTCCATAAAACCAGTGCCTGGTGCCAAAAAGGTTGGGGTCCGATGGTTTAGGTCACTGCCCAGAGACATGAAAAACTTTCAGTTGTTACTCAGACTGGGATGTACAACATCAGTTTGTTTTTTCCCCAGGGAAATGCCTGAGTCTGTGCATCTGCCTTGCATACGTTGATTTTCTCAAACAGGATAACTGTATTCCTCCTGTTCTCCTATCACCAATGTTCGAAGTGCTTCTAAGTATGAAGAAACAGAATCAGAGGTGACAGGAAGGAACATGGGCAAAGACAGACGTCCCCCGCCAGGGTCACTGCTGTTGTTCTCAAGATAAGCAGTCAGCTGAGCTGCTGAATGGAACAGTTGGAATCTGTCTCCTAGAGTGGCCTATCCTCTCCCCTTCAACAAAATCCAGCCGAGCACACATTTTCCAAGTGCCTCCAACATGTCTGACACTGTGTGAGGCCCCAGAAACAGAGCTGGGTGTCAAGCAGCAAGTGATTTCCTAGTGAGGACAGACGAGCAATCCGATAATTCGGTTCACTGTGGTAAAGGCTGTTTGGGTCAAGTGTGCCGTGAGGCAGCGACCACGAGGTACATCGCCAGGTTGGCAGAGGCTTGTGGCCTAAGGGCTTCCTAAGCGGGGGCCCAGAATGCAGAGGAACTGGATAGGGGACACTGGTGGTAGTGGAGACCGGAGAGTTTTAGGAAAAGGAGATGCCATGTGCAAAGGCACAGAGCTAGGGCTGTTTTCGGAAGCAAGTTTAACGTGGAGTTATAGCCAAGGATGGAAAGGAGAGAAAGTTCTGGAACATGAGTCATGGTAGGCCTCGTGGGCTGCATTCAGAACTCAGAATTTAGCGTGTCCATGCTGGACAGCTATCCTGAGTGGAACAAAGCATGGGTCCCAAGTGGCCCTTCTTGCCATCAGCTCCGTGGGTGTGATTTTCCAAAACACTGAACTCCCTTTAGCAGGCTCTATTTGGCATTCCCTTAGAACATTCCACACAGCTTCTCAAATATACAAAACCTTCTCTTCTGAATCCATTTCAACTCTGATTCATCAGATAAGAGCACAGAATTAAAATGAAGCATGCCCTTGAAGCTCCATCAGAAATGTACCCTACGACACACTTAAGACTCTCTGAACCCAGAAATGCCATTCCTTTCCCTTTGCAGACGATTCCTTCCAGCACTTGCCTGCAGCTGGGGGAGCCCCCGAGCCCCAACAACTCACTCACCACAGATTGACCAGGAAGGGGTGCTCCAGCCCCTGCATGATCTGCAGTTCCCTGAAGACATTCCGAACTTCGTCCCTCTCGATGCACTTCTGCTTGTTCATGTACTTCATTGCGTACATCTTCTTCGTGTCTCGCTTCTGCACAATGCACACCTGAGCGACAGCCAAAGGGGAGAACATTCAGGCCAACAATTAAAAAAAGAAGAAAAGTCAATCCCCTCCACAATTCTACTCCTGGATTCAAGTCTCTGTTCTGAAAACTTGCTAGCAGAGCAGCTCTGGCTAAATTGGTGCCACAACCTCTACATCTGTAAAACGGAGAATTGTACCAGATTCGTCCGTTTACCAAATATTTACACTAGGATTGGCCTGGCCTGAGTGTGGAAAAGGAGCTGCAGACGCACGAGCTGGGAGGAGCAGCCCCGCCCATGAGGAGCTCACAGGCCGGGAGCCAGCAAGGCGCACAGTGCCCAGGACCCTGGGAGTGGGGGTGCCGTGTGCCACAGGCCACTCTGCTCACTGAATGTCCTCGCTTCCCACTTCAGCACACCCCTGCCTGCCTTCCAGCCACCAGCCATGTGTCACTTTGCCTGAGGCCTCTTCTTGCCAGGAGGGCCCTCTGCTGCCCATACAACAGACCAGCAGAGTCAGGGAATTAGTGTCCCCAGGAGCAGCACTCGGCCCGTGACGGATAGAAAAGGGGTGTCAGCACCTTGCCCGTTGGGTGGGACAGGTCTGAGGCTGCAGTTTCACGCTGGCCCCAGAGTGTGTAGTTCCACAGGGCTGGACGGCGTACCCTTCCCTGACTCACTTCCCAACTCATTCACTTGTGTTCTCTTTACCTCTCCAGGTCCCTGTGCTCAAACCATGGCGTCGCAGGCTGCTTTTGGGGAAGCCCAGGCTCAGGCACACGGGCTCAGGGGAGCGCGGAGAGGCTGTGACAGTGGTGACAGCAGTGCCTGTATTGAGCACTCTACTGCAGGCCGGGCACTGAGCAAGTCATCTCCTTGGTGATCTCACTTAATCCCTGCGAGAACTTTCTGGATAAAGTACGCGGAGGCTATATTAACTTGCCCAGTTAAATGGCAGACAGGACTCAGCGCACAAGCCTGACTTTTGAGTGACTCTCTTGCCTGGGGGCGCAGGGCCAGGGTGGGAGAGGCTTCCGGAAGGAGTGCCAGAGGCAGCGGCGCTCCCCCACGGCAAGGGCGCAGGAGCAGGCTTCTCGGGAAAGGGAGCGTCAGGGAGGAGACAGGAGCCCGAGAAGGCGCCGTGAGCAGTACGGTGTGGGGGAAACAGTCGCCAGGCCTGACGTGCGCCGTGTGACCTGGACAGTCGACAAGGATTGCATGATCTGTTTGCCCCAACAGTCCCTCAGGCTGCCAGAACAAAGGGTCACAAATTGGATGAGTGGCTCAGGCAGCAGAAACGTGCCATCTCACAGCTGGAGGCTGGAATCCCATCACGGCGTCCACAGGCCACACTCGCTCTGGCTGCCCTGGGGTCCCCGCTTGCCCCTTCTAGCCTCGGTGGCTGCCAGCAGCCCCTGGTTCTTCGTGGCTTGCAGCTGCAGCGCTTCAGTCCCTGCCTCTACTGCAGCGTGGCCTCCTCCTGGTAGCTGTGTCGCTGATCCCAAATTTTTGTCTTATAAGGACACCATTTACCGTGGATTCAGGACACCCAGCTCCGGCATGGCCTCATCTTACCTACTGACATCTGCAGTGAGCCTACTTCCACGAGCTCACGTTCTGAGGTTCCAGGAGGCTGCGAACTTTTGGTGGTGGTGGTGGGGGGGACAGTTTCAACCCGGTGCAGCTACTATTACTACCTGGTGCAGATAGAGGACAGTGAGGCCCTGGAAGCTTCCAGGCCTTTCTCAGGGCTCTCAAGCCTCAAACCCAGGCTCTGTGCCTCTCAGCTGTCACGTCTCACCCACAGCGTGGAGTCCTTGATACAAGAGACATGTTGGAAAAATCCAGCAATGAGGCAGTGGGCCGGGGTGCCCAGTGGCGGAGCTGGGGTTTGTCCTGACCTCACAGGCTGCTCCTCCGTTGGGAACCAGACCCCTTTCAGCTCCGCGGACCCAGCACGTGGGAAAGCCTGGGTCCTGGCTCCGGCATCTGTCTGAGCTGTGTCAGCAAGCTACCCTGCCCCTGGTGGGGACTGGACAGGACCGAGGAAGCGGGAGTGCCTGGAAACGCTGGGGGGAGGGGACAGTAAAAGTCACCCGGATGTCAATGTATTAAATAATGCGCTTCATAACCCGCCACGAAGATGCCTTCCTACACAGTCAGAGCAGCGGCACGAGGCTGAAGGCCCGGGGACTTCCATTTCCAGGGAACTTGAAAATGCAAAATGCGGGAGGCCACGGTGTGACGTCCAAAGGCAGCTTAGGGAGCTGGGCTTTGTGGGATCGGAGCAGGGACTTCCGAAGCCCCGGGCACCGCCCTGAGGCCCGCCTTGAAGGCAGACATGCCGTGAGGATAAAGCCCCCAACCAGGATTTCTCATCTCTCTGGCTTCTCATTTGCCTTCTCAGAAGGGGCGCGGCGGGCACTGTCTCTCGGGCCGGGCCCTGCTGGCCGCGGCTGCGTCCTCCCAACACGGGCTGTGCGGCGCTCCTGGGTTTGACACACAGAGGTGCTGAGGGGTGGCTCTCGCCTCAGCTCAGGGACAGTTTAGGAATCATTGTGCCAGGTATGCTCCAAAATCACATTAGAATTCCGGCTTCCAAAGTAGAGCTAATGATTTCAGTAGAGCTTGGAAGTTTGGCTTTTCAGTGCACGAACAAGAAGGTGGCTGGCACAGGAGGTCGGATATAGCCGGGAAGCTCAGACTGCTGAGAAAAAGAGGCGAGAACAAGGCACAGGGCTTCCAGCCAGCTAGTGCGGGCCCTGAGGGTGGCTGGGATCCCACGATCATCTGGGCCTGGGCTCCCTCCTCAGTAAACTGAAGGCTAGGCCCTGTGCTCCCCACGGCATCGCAGGAGCACGTTTCTCAGGGACACCTGCTGGAAGGCTGGGTGTAGGGTCAGGCGAGCTGACCCCGGCCCTCTCGCAGACTCGGGGGCTGCTCTGCACGGACCCCTGTGCTCCAGACGCTCTCTCCACTGAATGGAGAGAGCGTCTGCCGGGAAGTCAGACACACAGAGAGTTTGAGCTCAGAGGCCACTCTGACCAGAACTTAAACTCCAGGTCTTTGCTGTGTGATCATGGGCAACTCACTCACCCTCTCTGAGCGCCAGTCTGCACATCGGAGCACCAGCTGTTCAGCACGTGAGAACACAGTGAGAAGTCAGCAGCCTGCAACCTGGAAGAGGCCCTCACCAGAACCCAACGTGCTGGCACCTCGATCTGGGACTTGCAGCCTCCAGAACTGTGATCAACAAATGTTGCTGCAGAAGCCACCCAGTCTGTGGTGCTTTAGTTACAGCAGCCGAACATGCCAAAGCAGCGCCCTTATTTGGATAAGGGTCTTTGCAGTTGTGATTGTTAAGGATCTCCAGGTGAGATCATCTTGGATTAGGGTGGACCCTAAATCGAATGGCAAGTGTCCTCAGAAGAGAAGAAAATGGGGACAGGCCAGGAGAAGGCCGTGTGACAGTGGGGCAGAGACGGCGCGGGCAGCCCCAGGGCTGCCGCACCTGCCAGGAGCGGAATGAAGGGCTTGGGACAGACTCACCTGCAGAGCCTCTAGAAGGAGGCTACCCTGCCCAGGCCTGGATTTTAGACTTCCGGCCTCCAGAACTGTAAGATAATAGATTTCTGCTGTTCTAAGCCGCCCAGTTCGTGGCGATGTGTTATAGAATTCCCTAGGAAACGAACACAGCCCAGAAATGCCCACCGCTGCCACTCGCCTACGGCTGAACGGCTCAGCCAGGGGCTCGGTGGCCTCACTCTCCTCCACTGTAAAGTGGGTCTGTAGGGCTGACCCTTCCGGGTCTACAGTCAGGTATCCAGGGCTCGGAGTGGAAGGAGCCGGCAGAGCACGTGGCCCATGCGGGGTCCCGCACACACGGGCTGGCACAGTGACGGACAGATCGATGTTTTGGACCCAGCCCCTGTGGCCCTGGCGAAGTGTCCTCTCTGAGTCCTGCAACTACAGTGATTTCTGGATTTCAGAGTTTAATGTTGAAATTTCAGTGGCAGGAAGAGCTCACTGCAGTAGCTTCCTAACTGGCCATCTCCACCGCTACTCTGGTCTCTGCAAATGTCTTCCTGCCTGGTAGAAACCTCTGGAAAAGCAAAGACTCAAAGCCTGCAAGGGTGTTCTTTTGCCTTCAAAAAGAAGTTCAAGGTCAGTATCCTGGCATTCAAAGCCCTCCTTGCCTGTGTCACCCCAAACATATGCATGTGCATGCTCACACACGCACACGCCCACGCACACACCCCTTTCGCTATGACTACCTCAAACCCTTTAGGATTTTGCTGAAGAATTTCTCCACCAACCCCTTCCTACCCTGTTGCCCTCCCCCGTCCCCTGCTCCCAGCCTGGCCCTCCCAGCCTGGCCAGCTCCGTGTCTACCTGGGCATCACTCTCCAGGCAGCTTCCCCGGGAAGCGAGCCCCGCCGGGCAGTCAGGGCCCGTGTCTGCTGCAAAGCTGCGTGTGCTGCAGTATAACCCTGTGGCTCTCTGACACTCAGCCCCAGGCGCCCTAAAGGCAGAAGTCAGGCTTACCAGGTTCCCTCTGCAGGGGTCCATCTGTATGAACTCCTCACCTTCTCTCCCGACCCCAAACTAGTCCATTTCACTTACTGTGCTTGGACCACCCTCCTGCAGCCTCACCAACTTACTCCTTGCTGGGAGCACCACTGCCCGGCCTCAAGGTTTCCCTGGCCCCGACCTCCAGGCCGAGTCCACAAAGGAGCTGAATTTCATTCGCAACTGGGTCTGCCACGTCCCACGCGGCCCATAGCAGGTCAGAGGTCCTGGTGCCCCGCATGCCCAGCGTGGGAGGAGAGGCTTGCTGCTCCCACTCGAAATCCCGTGGCAACCATGTGCCTGCGAGAGTCCGCCGCACGAGCAGCATTCTGGCCTCCTGAGCTCCTTACAGGTGTTCTAGAGGGAAGTTGAGCACGTGTCACCAGTGGCCAACTCTGCCCAGGCCCTGGGCACCTTCAGAATAGAAAAGCTGGGTCTCGAGGGGCGGAGCAA